AGAATTCTTGCTTGCTGGCTGGGGGAATTCTAGGAGTTGAAGTCCACACGTCTTCAAGTTGCCAAGGTTGAGAAACACTACATTAGATAGACAGAGCTAGATAGATAATATAAATAGGTAGGCTAGACAGATAGAGATGGATAGATATAGATATGGATAGTAGGTAGATGGATACACACGCACACAGACACATAAGCAAGTTGCATACACATTAACTGGGAAAATGGATCGATGGAATCTGCTGAAGCTAGCAATGTTAGGTTGACAAGATAGGGAAGGTAGATCCTGGATAAGATTTGTGTCATTTTTTATGTAGGTTGTTTCCTGTCTACTCTTCCTGGGGGAGGGGTTATCTTAAATTCACAGCCTTCTGCCCTTGGATAAATACAATCACATTCGTAATCCTGTTTTTCTAGTTTTTCATATGGTTGGAGGAACAATCGAGCTAAGATACCGAGGCAACTTCAGGGAGCTTTGCTACCCTTTTGCAAAGCAGGAGCCTTGTGAATTACAGTATTGAACACCTCCATCAGTAGTGTGAATTAATCCCCCTCCCCTTCCTTGCTCTCTGGCTTCCCGTTTGTTCCAGAGCCAAGATGGAAAGTGTGGTTGGAGGACTTCAAGTCCTTCTGCTGTTGAGGCCCCAGCATCCAACAGATCATGTTCTCCCAAATGAAATGGATCGATTGATTCTGTGCTATCACGTCTCCAGCTATGATGAATATGGCATTTCCTTACAGATGTGTTTGGCGCAACACTCAGAATTCCCAGCCAGAACCATGACTGGGCTTTTGGGGCTGAGAGGATAAGAACTGTGTTGCACTGGGGAACAGCCCATCATAAAAAAAGCCCAAACTCTCAGTTGCTAGTTAGACTGAGATGTTGCTCTTCCTCCAGGAGTACAAAAGAGCATACATAGCACTCCCTTTTTCCCTTACTAGGTTGGTTGGATGGACTCTCACCATCTAAGGCCAACATCTTGACTGCAGCCCCACACTCTCATTTTTGAGCATGAAGCTGTACAATTTTCTTGGGTGGCTGAAGGATGCTCCCTCACCCAGGCGTATTTCATTGCTCCCTTTTTCCAAGTAGGCGTATCACAGATCTCTTTCCTTGAAAACACACCCAACCGCAGAACCCAAAACCCTGCCAAGCCAGTAACCTATCCACGTTCACCCTAAGAAGGACACGATTCAACCCCCGCCCCCCAGCAACCTGTTGGCCAAAACTGCTTCAGGAGATGCTTCTGACAAAGGTAGGGAAAGACGACCTCGAACCCACAGGCCAGCCAGCCAGTTCTTCTGCCCTAGACATTTTGAAAAAGCAATCAGAAGGGGAAGAAAACTCCAGAATTGTCTCTGCCATGTTTTTAGCACCCTCTGGCGGAAAAAGACCAAGAAACAACCTTGGTCTCACCAACCTTGGCTGAATTCATTCACTCCATGAGCTTCTCAAGATCCAGTTCCCAGGACACTGAACTTGGTTAGTGAGTTAAGCCATTTTCTGGATGTTTCTGGTGTAAACTAGTTTTAGCTTTGTTTCTGTTTCTTATCTCCTAACTTACCCTTCCTTCCTCCCTCCCCTCCCTCCCTCCCTTCCTTCCTTCCTCCCTCCCCTCCCTCCCTCCCTTCCTTCCTTCCTCCCTCCCCTCCCTCCCTCCCTTCCTTCCTTCCTCCCTCCCCTCCCTCCCTCCCTTCCTTCCTTCCTCCCTCCCCTCCCTCCCTCCCTTCCTTCCGTCCTTCCTTCCTTCCTTCCTTCCTTCCTTCCTTCCTTCCTTCCTTCCTTCCTAATGCTTCTTGCTCTTGTTCTGCACTGGGCATAATATGCCTTAATCCAAACGGGAAGAACTTGTTGGGTATGCATGGATGTATGTTGGCCTAATGGGAAGAGAAAAAGATGCCTGAATTTCTTTGCCTATTTAAAGCAGTTGCTTCAAGCAGGGTGAGCCACGATGGCACGAAAAACGCGGGTTCCACTGCCCAGAGACAAATGGATTGTGGGTGGACCCTAACACCGGTTAGACATCTGGATTCTCGACTGAGCTCCATTATTCAGCAATATTTGCTGTCAGAAAAGCAAATTATTAGGGGATGGTAAAGGCCAACCTGATCCGGTTCTCAGGGCAAGCGTCTCTGATGGACCTGGTCAGTGTCTGTCTGGAGGAGAATCGTGGTTTTATATTTACCTACATGAAGGAATAGAGCTTCAACATCCTTCCAGTCATCTCCCTAATGCAGAGGGTTCATGATTCCCAAATTCCTTCACAATTTCTATTTTACTAGTTCTTGCAAGGGGATATACTGACATCATACCAAGCATCCCTCTTGTAACCCCAGATCTTTGAAGCTAGATAGAATTTCATTGCACTTAATTTTATTATAAACTTCTAAAGCTGTGTTTCTCAACCTTGGCAACTTTAAGAGGTCTGGACTTCAACTCCCAGAATTCCCCAG